GGTAAATAAGGGTGACATCTAGTGGAGAAGACTAATGATAAGATTGACGTTAATCAGATCTCGTTTGAAATAAATACTGGAAAAGATCGATTCACGGATTTTGAGAATCGATATCGAATCGACGTCATTTAAAAAAACGATTACTGATGATTATTTTTACACTTTGCTGTGCGATCTATACTTGTTTAATTACCAAGCACCGTTTAATTCAAATGTCCACTTAATCTTTAGTATTTGGCCATTTCTTTAGGACAGACATGCTATAGCCACTGTAATTTAATGAATAGTCTAATAACATTGACGAATCGCGACAGCCCTACTTATAAGGGACGTCCCATTACATATGCACATCTCATCTGAAACCATTCTTCTGCAGCGTTTTCAAGATTTGGTACATTATTACATGTTAGAGGCCTATAAAGACCCCATTTCTAATAAGTAGAAGAAATTAATGGTCATTTCTTATAGGGTACGTTGCACACTATATACATACCTCATATGAAACCATTTTACTGCAGCATTTTGAGATATAGGACATTATTACAGGTTAGAGGGCTATAAACACCCCATTTCTAATAAGTACAAGAAATGAATGGTCAGTTCTCATAGGGGATGTCCCATTCTATATGCACACCTCATATGAAAACTTTTACTGCAGCGTTTTTGACATGGGATATTATCACACTTTAGGAGGCTATAAAGACCGCATTTTTAATAAGTAGATAAAACCAATGGTCAGTTCTTATACGGGACATCCCAGTCTATATGCACACCTCATATAAAAACATTTTACTGCAGCGTTTTTGAGATATGGGACATTATTACATTTTAGAGGACTATAAAGAACCCATTTATAATAAGTAGAAGAAATGATTGATCAGTTCTTATATGGGACATCCCATACTATATACATACCTAATATGAACCCATTTTACTGCAGAGTTTTTGAGATATGGGACATTATTACACTTTAGAGGGCTATAAAGACCCCATTTCTAATAAGTAGAGAAAACCAGTGGTCAGTTCTTATACGGGACGTCCCATAATATATGCACACCTCATATGACCTCTTGCACACATCCAGTCTTTTTTTCTTCATTAGTAACATGCAATTATAAAGGAGGTGTTGATTTTTTTCTTTAGCTCCTTGCATTCTTTCTTATCATGTAGACAACAGGTTAAGTAAAAATATGAATATGCAATATATAGTGGATATATTTTGCAAAATGCACCTCTTTACAGTTATTTTTT